TATAATACATTTTAACTGACAAGGCAAAACATAAGTGACATATAACATGTTTTTTTTATAAATGAATAAAATGTAGCGGTGTCTTGAAGTACCTAATTATTTCGATAATAGCCGGCGTCGTCCTTCTGATAACTTTCTATTATTTGGTATGACGTCGTGTGCTTATCCATATAATATACTACGTGGCCTTCCTGTGTATGCACTGTAGCTCTGCAGCCAAACTTGGCATGAGAGGTACACCGCCATCTGAGTTTACACGACGATTTGCCGCTCATACGAAATCTAAAGCCTTCCATAAAAAGGATCTTCTTACCGTCTTCACTTTGAAGAATCAGTGGTCCTGTAAAAAACATGCTGTTAGTTGTGGCAGGTAAGCCTCTAAATAATTGAGAAGATTAAGAAGGTTAGAGTTACGCATTTATTATAACGTATAATCAAATTTTATTAAGAGATTAAAATTAGGAATAAAAAAATCAAAAAAACAGCACTGCAGGTCTTTATATTTACTTAGATATATAACACAAATAATTCCAAACATTTAAGTTACTAGGATACTTTAAATATATCTATCTGAAAAAGATTCAAAAAACCTTGTACCTAATTATTCATGAGAAATGCACATTGACTAATTTCTGAAATATAAAGTTAAGTAAGTAAGTATATAACATTATTGTAAAAATATAATAAATAAATACAATATTTCAAATTATTTGACTTACTTTTATCTCAAATTATAATATCGAGTACAAAAGAATTCGATGCCACCTTTAATAATAATAATGTCTTTAATTTGCTTGTAAATATACAAGGTGTTACAATAAACACGGCCTCATGTTTAGCTACAATTTGTAAGCATGCAAAAATTACAAATCTTTCACCTACCTTAAGAGTAAATTGATAAGGTTCTATGTCCGTTTCATATCAAAATCTCTTTTAGATTATAAAATGTATGTGATAATAACCATTTACGCAACTGTTTTTTAAAGAGTATGATATTTAAAGTTCCAAATTCTTTTGGTATTTTACTATAGAAAATTTTACAGAAAAGCAGACAACTTTTGTTAGACTGAATTGTTTTTGGGGCTATCTGTATCACTAACCTATGTGTATCTCTATTGCTTCTTGGATAAAAATCACACGCCCATCTAAAGAAAAGCTGATGTATCTTAACAAATACACACACGTCAAATATATAGAGCGATGTTAGAGTCAGCATATTGGCCATATAATGGACGGAAGGTTGTCAATAGCGAAACACCATATTATTACTCTTACGCATTTTTTTGAGCCATAAAAGCTATTTTAGTGTAAGATGTATTACCCCATATAAGTAACCCGTACCCCAATAGGGACCCCAAATAAGCGTGGTAGGCAGCAATCGCAGTGTTTAAGTTTCTAGCCGTTCTGACACACTTAAAGCAAATACAAATTTATTGCTTCATGTTGAAACGTTGTCTATGTGCGTTTGCCAATTTCAATCTTTATCTTTTGTTATTCTATATGACTAAAACATTCGATTATTTTTCCACAATCTTATTAATATAATATTCATGCTCTGCTCCCGTTTCATTTGATCTTATCACAACACATATGTCATCAGTGCATGCAATTCATTAATGGACTGGAGCGTTTAAAATGTTTTTACGATATAGCATTTCAAAAAAATACCCAGTACGCTACCTTGTGGCAGACTACATTGGTTTTCTTTATAGTGTGATGAACACGCTTCGACAGCTTTGTTTTTTTTTATGTTATCTATACCTACATATTTTTTTCAGCTGCTAATGTACGACATATTCCATTTAAGCGCGTATCCCCTTATCCCAATAAATTCTAGTTTTCTTGCTAGTATTGTGTGCGAAACGTGATCGAACGCTTTGGATAGGTCAACAAATATGCCAGTTGTAAATTTTTTATCACATCACATTACATTATTTTCATTGCATTTCCTAATTACTGAGACGAATAAAACGAACGTAATTTAAGTTATATTAAAATGGTGCTGCTCAAAATGTCGCCTGTGTATGTCCAAAATATTTTGAGCTGGATTAATAAAAAAATAAAATAAACCTACTACTACTACTACTTTCCTTTGAGTTGGCCGTCGATGACCGTTACAAAATTTGTCACAGGCCAATCACAGGCACACGTACTAGTGCCGTCGACCAATAGAGGCGACTAATAGGATCTGTCTAGGAGCGCGGTGCGGTAAGGCGGTGAGCGGCCGACTCGAAGCCAACGCGTAGAAGTTCCTCATGCATTTGGTTCAAATTTGGTAAAACAGTCAACAAGAAATTTCAAAATGCATTGTACAAATCCAACCAATGGATTCAGAACGTAGTGTGTTGATTCATGTAATAAACAATTGAGTTGTTTACAGTATGAACTGTGGCTTTACATTTAAACCTTGAATGCGAAGTGCATCTCCAGCGGGTTTTTACACCCACACCACCGTTTGGTCGGTATCTGAAGCCCTCCAAGAGCAATATGCTCTTCCCTTTCTCGTTCGAAAAGAACACTGCTTCAAGCCCTGTGGACAATAACGATTTGATAAGTATTAATAACAAATGGTGCCTGCGATTTCGGCTGCGACGAAACTATGGTATCACATACAAACGTTCACCCTTTTTTCATCTCCTTTAAGGGTCATTTTTAGGATACACACTATCCATGTCCTTTCCCGGGTTTCAAACTATCTGTATGCCAGATTTCATTTTAAAGGTTTAAGTGACTTAACCCAACGATATGTAATACCCTAGATACAACAAAAAACACGAACAAATTCGTGGCCAAAACCTGTCCAAAAGTTTCATCAAACAATCCTCCGTAAGCACGTAGTAAGAAAACAAGGCATTATTTAAACATTCAAGATCACCTATAATGCATCGTCAAATAAGGTCAATTTAAACGCATGCGTAAAAGAATTACGAACGTTCGAAATGTAAGTTCGTAAAATTTTAGAACTTGTTGCTATAGGCGGAAGAATATTAACTTTATTTCTTTACGCGTAATTCTGAACGCGCTGTTAGCAAAATAGCAAGTAAATGGCAAGGCAGGCAATTTTTTTTCAAATGCGTTAAATTAACCCACTCTGATTAGTTGAATTTGATGTAGATATACGTCAAATGTGAACCGATTTTTAATTCTCGTTACGTCCGTTGTGGTTCTGCTGTTCAAGTTTCCATAGAAAATTTGACAGTGACATTTCGTACTCATTACGAATTCGATATTGGTTCATGCTTTGTAAGGATAAGATAGCTGTCGAAAAAATGACACTAAGTGTAAAGTATTATTTTCGCATTTTTTGACAGAGTTCTGTGACCAAGTTTGAACCAAGTGCTTGAATGAAGTTCAAGCACTTCTTGATTGCGGCCCATTTTGAGCGCACGTAATGTTTTTAGGGTTTTTTATATCGTTTCCTTAAGCGTAAAAAGTTAACAAACAGACAGACACACTTTCACATTTATAAAATTAGAATGGATAGATTTATTTTCCGTTTGAAAGGAGACTGAGCGAAAGTGGTCCAAGAACCAACACCATGACCATTATAGTACTTATGTAGAGGTACCTCAACTTCAATACAAAGGAGCATCAAAATCTGACCAGACCCAGACTAGTAGTTTCTATTAAAAAGTTATTCTGAACAAAAGGAAGTAATGCATAATGGTACAAACAAGATCTAGACTTTTCACGAGGTAACTTCGTTATATTATTTTCACACTTTTCCAAATAAATGAAAAGTTTCTCCTATAAAGGTAAATGTAAGCCATACAAAGTTTGTAAACAAAGTAATGGTATATTTTTAAGAGTTCATGAAAAAGTGCATAAATATGACAGAAAACAAAATCCGTTAATAAAAAAACATACATGAAAAGTCAGCTCTCTTCACGAATCAACGTTTAAAAATATAACATAAAAATATAACAAGATTATTTCAAAATATTACTATTATCATCACATCTTATTGTCTAAGAGCCCACAACACTAAACCTAGTCCGATAAGATTCCTAGATGACATATACATACAATTAGTCAAGTACTACACGAAATGAAGAAGCACCAATGCAAAAAACCAGACACCTGGGAGTCATCAAACTAGGTTTAGTGTCGTTGGCTCTCGTACTAGTTGGCCCTATCGACCACGCAAGGGACAAAATTAATTTAAAGATTAAAATGTTTGTTGCATTTATCAACCCTTTCAACTAGTTACAGTACAGTGGTAATTCAAGCATCGAAGTATGACAGTCTGCTAGGCAAACAATGCAATAATTTAACAGTAATTTTGATTTGAAATTTAGAAGCTCAATTCTGCAGTGATCAGTGTGGTCGATAGATGACCAAACATTTCCGCTATCAAGCGTCCCAATGATTCGGAAAGAATGTTAGGCCTTTGATTCCGGTTGCTTTTATAGCGCTTCGAATCATGTGATAGATTGTATGTAGCCCAGTCATTTCATGTATGCCTAACCGTGCACAGACAAAGTTTGCGGTTAGGTTGGCTGAGCGAGTCAGCGAGGTGGAGGGGAGGAGCCTCACCGTTTTTTCGATGACAGGGAGAAAAAAAGCATTATATCCCCGACAATGATCAACGCCGCGTTGTTTTGCTGTTAACAAACCCTCGAGACGCAGCCCGAGGGTCACTAGCTGGTGCAGGTATATTTTGACGTAAGCTCACGCAAGCGTGGTTGACGTCACACCAACCTGCCTCCGACCAACGGCCCGGCCCGCATCCGTTTCAGCCGATCCTGGGCTTCTCCGTTCACAGCGTCACCTGACTAGTTCCACGGACCGCAGTTCGAGCAGCTAGCCAGCCGACCTTCTACCCCTCACCTTCCGACCTTCAAGCGTAACTGCGGGATCCAGTTATGATTCGCCGCTTAACCCCGTCAACTTTCCCAACAGCGAGGTTGGGCAAGGCAAAAAAAAGTCCAACATTATCAGCAAATAACAAACTTAACATTTGAATGTTGACGACATCGATTGATAGGATGAAGATGACATCACGTAGTCGGGAGATATTCTAGTTCGTATGTGGTGTGCTCGTCCATGAAGTACACTATTTGATCTTCAATAGTGTGTACCCTCGCTCTGCAGCTAAACCTTTCGTGGGTCGCGCATCTCCACCTGACCCTGTTGCCATAGGCTCTGTTCACTCGGTACTTGTTGCCACCTATTAGCAACATTCTACTGCCTCTAGAGCTTAATAAGTATTGCGGTTGCAAATCTGAAAAGGAATATTCAGATTATCATTAACATTGGATTTCCCATCCAGTTCCAACACAATATTCTGTTACACAATATTCTATTGTATTGGGACTGGATGGTCTGGAATCTGGACTATAGAAGGAGACTATTGGGACATCTTCTAATATCAAAGTTCCTAGACTGGTAATAGATGAAAAGTGGTGACTAGATTAAGACTTATAGACTCCTTAAAATGACCGCAATGGCAAGGGAGAATGGCAATGGTCGTCCTCTGCTGCTGGGTGTGGAGTGGTATACAGCGCTGTCTACCTGCTGTTTGTGAAAACAAGCCAACTCGCGTAGCTTAAAGCCTACGATTATCATATCTGTAGATCCAATAGTTTCCTGTACACAAACTGGGGATAGTCTCTGAAAATATCAGTATGGTGCAGTCAGAGATTAGATCCAGCATGTATACTATCACATATAATATCGCTTGAAATTGCTTCTACGTGTTGGATTAATATCGTTAAAAGATCGGGTCACTTCTGCCCCGTGAATGTAAAGCGAACAAATAATAGTAACAAAAAATTATAAAAAATCTGCTAGCTTTTTAACGGGAAAAATAATTAAAAACAAAAATAATATATCTATACAATGACCTAGTCGGGGAGTATATTATGTTTTCGATACTGCTCTGTTTGCTGACTATGAAATAAAACATAATAATGATTTTTATATAACCTATACGTAATTAATAAATAATCCGCAAAATTAGTAAATTTACGTACCTATAAGTAAAGAAGTTATCTACCTATGTCACAAACAAAAATGAAAAAGAAAATTAATAACTTTTAATACATATATCGACATGGATATTTACTTATCATTCCAATTTATTAAAAGCAAATTCTCTTTAAAAAAATTATGTTTCAGTAATTTTCTATGTATAAGAACAATAGTCAATATATCTATAGATATGCTACCTTCTTTCGCGGCTACTATATTTCAAGGAACCTGCTTTTCTGTGGATGGTTGTGGTTTTCCATAAGGAGGGTCACATTTCCTTCCACTGTATGAACTCTAGCGGAACACTTCCTGTTGGAGCAGCGCCATCTAATTTTATTTTCCGACACATTTTTCCTACAGTAAGTGTATCCATTAATTAACAAAATCTTGTAGCCTCTCTTCGTTACGATCACTTCCGCTGAAATGAGAGTATACATTTTATTGAATAATCATTATAAATTAAAACAGGCACAGCTGATTTGGACCCGCTTGGTTAGGAGCGCCCATCTGGGGAAGCATTCTACACCACAGTAAAATAACACTACATTTTGGTGGTGTATTTTGTATTTCTGCTGGTGAGTAGAGTTCCAGCGCTCTGCCGTGTAGGGGATTGGCTTCAGACCTGCAAAGTGAGGAGCGGCACATTTTCTGCCGTATCATCTATCTTCGCGACTTGACACTTAGCATCGGGTGCAGTAGGTTATTTTTTAAAGACTCGTATAAAAAAATATTCACGTAAAATCTGTGACAATGTAGCTATATAATTCTTAAAAATTAGTTGCGTAATTATTATTTTTACAGAATAACGAAAGTAGCCTATATGTATAATTTATGAAAAATCTAATGAAGAAACTAAATAACCAGAGAGCAGGTTCGCTCAGTCCGAGCGCCCGCCAACTAAATTTTTTGAAAAATAAAAACAAATCTAAAGTTTTAAAAACTGTAAGTATAATTTTGTACTATGTACAAGAACAACAGTTAATTTATCTTAAAGCTATCTTCTTTTGCGGCTTCTATATTTCAAGGAACCTGCGTTTCTGTGGGTGATTGTGGTTTTCCATAAGGACTGTCACCTTTCCTTCCACCGTATGAACTCTGGCGGAACACTTTCTGTTAGAGCAACGCCATCTTATTTTATTTTCCGACACAAAATTCCTACAGTAAGTGTATCCATTGACTAACAAAAACTTGAAGCCTCTCTTCGTTATGATCACTTCCGCTGAAATGAAATATGACATTTAATTAAACAAGCTTTTCATACAATGTTTTTTTTATTATGTATTTGTTGCATATGTATTATTATTATTTACCAATGGGTACGCAACCCCATGAGTCCCCGAGGTGGCCTCGTGTTACCGCTGTGGGAGATCCATTGAGTTTGTTAATACAAAGGAATGAATAGAGGAGGGTACATAGACAGAAGGAAGCAAGATGGGAGTTAAAGAGTACAAAAGAAAGGAAAAGAAAAAAGTATGGATAATTTGTATCTTCTTTCTAGATACACTGGCTGTTGACTTGGGTTTACGAAACTTTCACAAATCATATACCATAACATGTAAGAAATTTACAACCATGGTAAGACATAATGTGTTGTCAGCTGTAAACGGGAAGCTCATCTCACACATGGCATTTAATCCAATATACACTACCTTATCGGAAGAAAATACAGTCGCATACCCCAGAATACGAAATCAATGCCGACTTTATGATCGTAAGTGCATCATGGAACTTATGAAATCAAGCATCAACCGACAACATTCTCTTGCTTTTTTTGTCAGTTCTTAGATCCCTTGACAGAAATAAAATATTAGAACATGAATTATGAATAAATCCACTAAAACGGAGGATATTTACGTAGATTTTATACATACACAGTATATCTACTGAATTCGATTCTATGTTGACATAACAAAACTTAAGTTAAACGTAGGACAATTTTACTAGGAAAGTAGATAAAGAAAACCAGATATAAATGGACGAAGAACTTTAATGGATCTCTTTTGACAATAAAAAGTACGATGGCGAATGGACTCAACTAAAATTTGGATCATCTATAATGATGTCTTGTACAATGTTTTATAGTTATAATTCATACACGCTTCTAATTTGGCAAGACAAAAGTCAGGTAATTTCCCGTTTTGCATTCAGTCGGGCACGCTCTCTCGTCGCGGCCATACTTCGCTACAACGTGTAAATATTTTACGTTTTTCCATACAAAAAGCTCTATGTGTGTCATGTTTTTACAAATAACAGTAAATTTAACGATAAGTAAATTACACGGGAACTATTAGAGACAAGAAAACGTGTCATTTCATTCGTAGTACAGTTTTAAAGAAATGAATGTAAAAATATTTAGTGATTACTTATTTTGACAGTTGCTGACACCGTTGACATGTGGAGGCTGAAGAGCGAGATGTAATCTGCTTTATGCATGAGAGTAAAAGAGACTACTTCAGTACGCTCTATCGGCGGGTGTTGCTAAGGAGAGTTGGGGCAGGGACCAGTTGTGCCTTTTTAAAATGAAATATGTTAGCGTATAACCTGTCTATATATTATACGTCATTAAATATCTTACTATAAAACAGCGTCCTAGAATAGAGATTTAATGTTGCTACGAAACTCATATCTTGCTATCCTCCAAAAAACTATTAAAAAACCGATCACATCACGTCGTGCCTATAATGTTGAAGTTCCTTCATCTGTACATATGGCATACCATTATTATGTATGGTCGTGGTTCTCTCGCATTCGTCTCACGATGCCACCTACTAAGTAAAAGTAAGCTGTGCACCCTCTCTTGGTGCACCTCCATCTGACTCGATCTTCACCCTCCTTAATCTTATAATACTTGTTCGCTTTGTACAGCATCCGTTCTTTTCCAGTGCTCGAGGTTAACATATCAAAAGTGAATACAGCTGAAAGAGTAAATTACCGAGTTAAAGCAATACAAAGTTTCCTTGCTCTACACATGTTTATTTTTTATAGTTTGAAGTCAAATGAAAGTTTGTTATATATTGTTATAAGCCAATCTACTGACTTTCACTCAATTACATCTGTGTTGTAATTATTTGATTTATATTTTAAAGTGAGTAAATGTGCAGAATATATATAGGTACATATACATGGTTAATTTTAAAACACCAACAACCTCTTAGGGGGTGATTCTATCCATCAACAGGAACAACTTTTATTATGAGACTAACTCTGAATTCGTGAAGAAAAAATCAGCTGTTTCATACATTTCGGTCGATTAGCTGATGCACTTTTGTATAAAACAGCAGATTTTTTTTCGCGATTTCAGCGTTTGTCCCATAATAAAAGTTGTTCCTGTTGATGGGTAGAATCACCCCCAAAGAGGTTGTTGGTGTTTTAAAATTAACCCTGTATATTCTGCTCATTAGTAGCTACTCTTATATTTTGGTTTTAATATCGTGCTTATTTAATTTATTTACTTGTCACCATTCTATTTTGACTATATGTTTACTAGAGCTTGTTAGGGTTAATCTGAAGTGAATTCCTATGAAACAATTCACCAAGACTTTGACTTTCGTTTAAGGTCCCAGTCTTCCATTAACAACATTTCCTACCATCGTAATCTAGTCCCTAGGCCAGGTACAATTACGGTCCGAGTCTGCGATTATTTTTTTTTACAATCGTTATTTGGTCCCACCGGCTCTGCATGGCCTAGAGATTAGCCAGGTCTGCCCTTAAGATCTCTTGCATCTCATCCTAAGTAGCAGCCATCTAACGACTCAATTATGGGGTATCCAACTGAATAAATGATTTCGTCGGAGGGTAGACATTCTACCCGCAATTTCAGTTCAGTTGCTCCGTGATTAAGTCGCGAGACTCATTAAAACAAGGTAAATAGTAGCTATCCCATAAATAACATAAATTTCCATAACTCGTCCAGAAACTTTGTATCCTTCGCATATCAATAGTTTTTACCGAACGCAGAAACTCGGAATAATAAATACACAATACTTAAAGTCCAATTTTATTAGGTATATAAATATATAAAACTGGATATTAATATAAAATGTAACCCGCATATTATTTGGCTATCATTGTCTGCTTATTCTCTTCAAATTCCTTTTTTATGGTATTACAATATTAATATTTCTAGCAATTATATCCTATCAATTGATAAGCGTATTTTTTATGACTAAGAACTTACACCCCCTTATTAATAAGCGAAGGATAAGCTTAGATTAGTTCCTCCAACTTTTGTCTTTATTGAATTAAAAATGGCATTTGAGCAAAACACGGCGTATGTAGTCTTAGGTTATTCTTCGTTTATTATCAAGAAGGATAAAGTATATTTGTTCAAATACATTAATATTTAAGATAAATATTTCAGTTTGTTATATTTATTTTAAGCATTTAACAGCTAGACGTTAAAATCTAAAGAAAATTTTACTAGAAAAAATTTCACGCAGTCCAGGCAGCAGACGGGACTCAAACCCGCACCGTCCGCTATCCGGGCGGATGCACTTCCAACTAAGCTACCGCGACCCTAATGGCCGTGTCGAATTTCTTAGGCAGCACCATCTCTTCGCATTGTAAGTAACCCACAATTTCTAATAAATATTTAAGATACCTAATAATACTTATTAATCAATGAGCTTAGACTAGTTACGCCGTATTTTTTTCATATCACTGAAATGCCATTTGTAATTCAGTAAACAGAGACAAAACTTGGAGAAACCAATCCAAGCTTATTTTTCCACTTTTATTTTTACAATCCGTTCATATAAAGCGGTATAAAAACTTCCGGTTCTTATAATGCAAGGTCCAACGATATTAAATACCCTAGATACACCAACACGAACAAAATCGTGCCCGAAACCTGTCCAAAAGGTACATTGAAGAATCCACGGAGCTCCGTAAGATGATCGCGTAGTCAAAATCAATATAAGGCATTATTTAAATATTGAAAGTAACCTTTAATACATACTGTATAAGGTCTTAAATAAAACGCATGCGTTAAGGACTTCTGACAGTTCGAAATTTTCGAAAAAAAATTTTACGACTTATTGCTATATTATGCGGAAGAATAGGCCTAAATTCTTCCGCATAACATTCTAGTTCTTTGACTCTACGCGCAATTCTGAACGCGCTGTTAGCAATATAGCAGGCACTGACCGCGAGGAAAAGAGACGGCTATATGGCGACGTATAACCGACCATGCATTTGAATATCACAAATATTTTATATTAAATCAGTTTAAAGTAAGCATTACATCAAAATTTACTTCAAATGCGTTATATTAACAAACATTGACCAGTCGAAAAAACGGCACTTTTTGAACTCTAAGTATTATTTTCGCATTTTTTCGTGAAGCTCTGTGGCATCTTGAGTTTGTAACGGTCCGCGCGTGACTGTGAACTCAGAAGTGCTTGAGTGGAGTTCAAGCACTTCTTGATTGGGACACATTTTGAGCGCTCGTGGTGTATCTAGGGTATTTAATATAGTTGGCAAGGTCATATTCAGCGTTGCCAGACGTCCCGATTTTTAAATCAATATTAAATAGATAGGCTCAGTCCCGCTTTTCGTGAATAACTCAACCGTACAGAGAAAGCGCGGCGGTTGGCACAGACAAGTGTGAACTGGACACCTGCCCGGCGCGTAATGAAGAACTCTCAAACAAAGACTCAACTATTTAACGATATGATAAATCTGATTAAATATCATATTTTTATTAAAATACAGTTTCTATGGATATTTTTACTAGTACCTATTGTCACGTAAACGTGATTTGAACTCAAATAAAAAGATATATATTCAAAAACTTTTGATTATATACGTTTTTTGTACTGTGTCGCGCTTTCGTTGAAAGAATTCCACTTTTTTCACTCAAAAAGTTCCTAAATCCCGACTTGCCAAAAAACAATCTGGCAACGCTGGTTATATTGTACAAATCATTGGTTGATATATTTGTCATTCACATTTATAAGTTAAAGCAATAAATCACAAAAACACTAAGGGTATATTTCTAGCAGTTAGATCCTATATCAAATGAGTATTTTGTATGGCTAAGCACTTAGAAATGCTAATTGAAACGCCCGGTTCTTATATAAAAACAAGATCGCTTACGCCACAGATTACGGAAGAAAAGGCAGATGGAACGCACGGAACACGCAATTCGTGGCACCAAAGCAAATACGAAACCAAAAGCGCCTATCGATTAGCGTGAGTTCACCACAACGAATCGTATTGTGAATATTAAGTTTTTATCAAAACTGTGCCGCGCAGTTTATCATCATCATCAGACTATTAATGTTCTCACCGCTGGGGTTTTCAGGCCTTCCCTATGGATGGAATATGGAGATTGGGCCATGACTAGTGTTGCAAGTCCGATTTGTTTTAAATCGGTACATGACGAAAAAAAAATCGGTATTTAGTGTTGCAGATCGGGACAGTAAAACAAAAAACAAGTGGTAAAAACCACTTGTTTTTTGTAGTCTGGTTTTTTTTTTAATTTTTTGATAAATCGGGAAATTTAGCTTCCCGATCAGGTACAAATCGGAACGCGTCCCCAGACCCCTGAAAATCGGGTCGTCCCGCGCAAATCGGGATACCTGGCAACACTAGCCATGACCCACCACGCGGGCCCAGTGCGGATTGGCGGGTGCTAACGACTGCAGATGCAGCCGGGACCAACGTCTTAACATGCCTTCCGAAGCACGGAGGAACTGGAGATAGAAGATTTTTGGTCACCCATCCATTGACCAACCACTGCGAAAGTTGCTTCAACGATCGCAGCCGAACACGCCATCGAGCTCCCTCCGTCCTAGTTTATACATCGTAAAATCTGTTCAAAAAGACAAAAAAAAAGCATATACTTTAGACTTATTATTTTCTTCGGTGGCAAGCATTACGTTAACTGTGCGTTCCATCTGCCTTTTGTTCTGTAATATGAGGCTTACGCGATATTATAAACATTCCAGACATAGTATTCAGACATAAGTAAAATGATTATGTTCTCCTAGTATGGCTATAATTTTGTCATCTACAGTTGTCACAGTCATCGGGCATTTCATCCCAGGTCTTTTACAGCAGTACCATCGAAATACACCGTTTTGGGGTCTCCGATGGACGCAGAAGAAAGTGCTGCCTTTATATATTAATACACTGTTGCCGCTTGCAGACACTTTAAATTGTGCTGGAAGAAACAAAGAGCTCAATACAATAACACAGAACCACTTAGCAAAATTAAGAACAAGCACAATACCACTCAACTACATACAAAACAAGCACTTTCACCTAAGATTATAGGAGTAACTTTCGGTTATTATTGTGGAAAAAATATTTTCTTTGCCAGAATAATTAATAAGGTGTAACTTCGACCAAAAGGCGACCATTAGTAAAAGAATTGACATTAGGAGGGTTATTAAAATCACTTATCATTTTGATCACGTTTATTGTTTTCGTTTTAATTTATAAATTATTTTCGTTTAAACAAATTTTATATTTTTCATTACTAACAAAACTAAGCTCTATTCATATTATTGACAAATGTTAAATAGTTACCTATTAAGAATTAATTAGGGAGTGTTTTGTAAAAACTGTACTATAAGAAATCACAAGTTTAGAATGCCATGTCTCAATGATATTTTTTACTTTTATTTGTATAACAATAGTTTCCATGCAAGTACTTAACATGACTATTCGTATTGGCTATGTGATCGTATTGGCTTGGCCTTCCTTTTCATTCTTGTGTGGTCTGTGTAAATGGCATATTTCTGTCAATGTCAAAAATAACCTGTCTGAGTGGCGGATTTCTGCCCCGCATACACGGTACAATATTTAGATATCACTATCACCATCATCAGCCTATTAATGTCCCCACTGTTGGGGTACAGGCCTTCTCTATGGATGGAATAGGGAGATATTTAGTTTAAAGAAAATATAACTAGAAAAAATTCCACGCGGACCAGGCAGCAGACGGGACGGGACGCAGACAGTCCCGTCTGCTGCCTGGTCCGCGTGGAATTTTTTCTAGTTATATTTTCTTTAGATTTAAATATCAAGCAGTTACATGCTTTAAAATAATAAAAATTATAGATATTTAGTTTAGTTTTTGTGAAGTGCGGGAACCTGTGGCGGGAACCAAAAGGGTTTGACGGCCATTTTGATAACACAGTTGAGGGTCATGACTAGGGTTGCGAACCCTACTATATAATATAGTATCCTACTATATAAGGGTATCAAATACTATATTTCTAAAAAAAAATATATAGTAGGCGAAATTACTATATTTCGCTTAAAGCAGATTTTTTCCAGTCAAATCGTTCTTAGAAATAAATAAAAATATTAAGGCATGGAAGAGCAAAAATATATTCATTTTAAAAATAAAGTAGATATTTTAACCACATACTAATTTTTTTTCTATCTTTTTGCCATCTACTATATTTTTGGGGGTCGAAAATACAATATTTGATAGAACGAAAAGTTTGTAACCCTAGTCATGACACACTGTTGTCAAAATGACAAGTGGCAAACACGAATTGCCATGTGAAGCACTATAATAGGTATATATATAAGAGTCTGTGCGGAAAGAGAATGGGCGTGGCGAAAAACGGAACTATCATTAAGATTTTTATTTGGCAATCAAACCCAGCAATTCGTAAAACGTCAAAGTTTTGTAATGATACGGATTTGTTTTTTGTTGTGATTTACTGCGGTTTTTTGTATTTAATCATGTCTAAAAGGGGTAAAACCTTACAAATACGGTAGAAAAGCACTACAGCGCCCTCCAATCTAAATCCCATTCTCTTTCTGCACAGACTCTACCAAGTATGTTCATGATTTTTGTTTTTATTGTGTTCATGATGAACATACTTGGTTATGATATATGATTTAAATAGAGTGGTGTCGTTATTAAAACTATTATTTAATTTAGGGGTGGTTATGGTTTCCATGAACAGCTATCACTGAGGAATTCAGGGTTTGGACAGAGATGGGGCATTTTTTGCTTTTCTTCTTTGAACAATACCAGCGGCATGGTTTCCCTGTGACAAAATTGTATCTATCGCACCAGTATGTATGGCCAGCGAAGTGTAACTTGAAATTGCCTCTTCCCGTTGGGATGAAATCCACTGTAACAAAACAATTAAGTCATCGGAATACACGATGTTATTTTCAAATTATCAGTTATTTATTCCTTAAACAGAAAGGAAATATTTGCATGTTTTCTCTTCCTTCGAGGACGTTAAAAATCTTTTGGCTCAGACAGTAAAAGTTTTTAGGTCCACTTGCACCAAAGTTCTTAATTCAATTTCTAAGCTTATTTTTATCTCAACTCGACTTTTTTACAATTGACAAAGATGAAATGCAGTCTTAAACACGAGTCAGCCTTTATTTGAATTAAGAACTTTAGTCCAAGTCAGCCTTTATTTTGTAACGATTTTATTGAATAATAAATAATATGGATTTTGAATAACCTCCTTGACAGCATTAACATCTTGAACAATATATTAATAGTTACATTTTTTACTTGTTATTGCATTGCATTGAACTGCTATATGTTTAATTAAGGCATTGCCATCACTACGCGTTGTAGGTAACTCACAATTGTCTTGCAGCCTAAGAAATACTAGAGAAAATTCGACACGGCCATTAGGGCCGTGGTAGCATAATGGTCAGTGCATCCGCCCGGATAGCGGAGAGTGCGAGTTCGAGTCCCGCCTGCTGCCTGGAATTTAACTAGTATTTTCTTGAGATAAATGTATTAATAATTTGAACTGGTTAGGATAATCAAATTAATAGAGAACTTCTATTTTGAATTCTGTTTATTCAGTGTTTCTTGCCATAACATTTGTAACAAGAACTTGTAAATATTTATCTATCACTACATTTGTTTTTTGTTTAATTTATTGTTGAAAAGTGTACTTGAAAGAAGAGATCAGATTTCTCCAAAAAAAAAACATCAAATAAAATTGTATTTTTACACATATTATACACGTTTAAAAATTCAATAAAAATATTTCTTAAAGCATTACTATTATTAATAATAATACTTTCAATCTTACCTAAGCAAAAAAAATGGTAAGGAAAATGTTTTATACCCTCCAGTATTATTCAAAACGCTGATGATTTGGACGCGAGCAAAAATCATAACCGATTATTGAAACATTTTTTTGTTGCTCTAGGACTAGACCATCAGCCCACATAGGTATGGTGGGAGTACTTCACAAAGTGCAAGGTACAACCCCTTATATTATTCTGCCGTGCTCGAGTAAATCTCAAAATTCCCACTTGGGCTCCTCCACTACTATAAATAATAAATAAATATTTCCAACACTCACACCAATGAGGGCTATCGCGTATGAATCCGCCGCTAGAGGCGCTTGTGTAGCGTGAGGTCTCCGAAATGTCAAATGTTATTGCTTGTTGGTTGACTACGCGGGTTTATTTCTAATTAAAATAATGTTGTGAATAATTGGTAACAATTCGGCTTAATTATGGCAAATATGAGTTATGTGGCAATGAATGTCAGTTATAAAACGGAACTGCGCGTCACTGTGGCATGGCCTATTATGTTTAGGATATGGTTCTTTTGTGTTAAACTACGATCTAAATGTAACCTTTGATTTTATGTGCGTATTAATAAACTTTAAAAGTTACAATTTAGGACCTCACTCAACAGTGGCGCCATCTGGTGAGGCAAAAAACGGTAGCCCTCATTAGCCTAGCCCCAAAGTAAGCACTGTAGGCTTGTGTTATGGGATACTAGGGTAACGAATAGAATACATACAATGATCTATATTCATTTCATTTTCTATATGAATATACTTATATATGTATTCTAACCGTTAACCTAGTATCCCATAATACAAGCCTACAGTGCTTACTTTGGGGCTAGGCTAATTGGTGTGAGTGTTGGAAATATTTATTCATTTATTTACATTCATTATTCATCCATGACTGGAGTACAAATGCTCGTATTTATCAGACAACCATCTGCCCTCGCCGGGATGCAACACCTTGAAACCACTCGGCCACGGAGGTCGTCAAAATATTGTTTCTTTGATCTTTAGGTCAAGTTTTACCTGATGTTTACACTATTACACTATGATTATGTTCTCCAAACACGGCAGCGACATCCCAACCCATGGTCTGTACGACCACAGGGCAATTTTTACTCTTTTTCTTAGAACAATACCAGCGGCCGGATTTCGAACTTTGAATTTCATACTTTCGACACCAAAATGTGTAATCATTATATTTCAATCTATAATTCCCTTTTCTAGTAGGTAAAAATTCAACTGCAAGAGGAAAGAACAGTGAGTACAGTGAATAATAAATAATTCTATTGTTTCAATAGGAGATTAAAGAAGGTCAGTGCTTACAGACTTTGAAGGATGTTAAGCAAGAAGACCCCATCCGTTACGAGTTCATTAATGCATTACGCGTTATTTTAAACTATGTTATAGTTTAAACTTAACGCAGCGCCGCATCATCCCCCTCTCAGGGGGTGATCGCTTAAGATGAAGCTTGTAAGGCCCTTCTGACCATAAGCATGAACTACAGATGTGTTTTAGTTAATAATAGTCTGACATAACCACAGAACACATAGAGGTTAGAATGGTGCCCTTAGATCGTTTGTACGGGAATCGATGTCGTCGGCTCCCCCACTGTGCTCTACCACCTAATAGACAATAGCCAATCAAACGACGCGACATCAAACAATCCACCCAATCAGCGCTCACACCCGAGCGTCATTCCTCATATAATTATTAGTATAGTATTTGGTCTTTGTGAAACTTTATTCAGAAAACAGAAATCAATACATCCTTATTTAAATTAGATGTGTATAATACAACTCTTTTGAATCGTCCGAAAAAAAATTTGTACCACTACCACTCGTTATTGGACATATTTTTTAGCTGGAACTATTGATATTCTATTGCTGGTTTTAAATCGTTATTTTGTTGCAATGCAAGGTTTTACGCTACAATAACTTCATCTAAGTCACTATTAATGTTTTCTTCTAAGGAATTTTCAATAGGTAAGAAATTTTCATTAACCAAAGTTGAACGACTATCATTCTTCAAGTAACAAATCTATCTTAACCGTTATAATTTTCCTTAAAAGTTCATGAAAAGCACTATTATCAAGCAAATATATTAACTTTTAGAGGGGGGGGGGGGCAACTCGAACAAAAATTAGCCCTTTAAAGTTCTATATTTCGCAAACGGATTCCTAAATCAAAAAGGTTTTTGGGAACCCCTAAGTTATTTTAAAGGACCTATTCAAAGATATCCCATACGACGGGGTGGTGGCGGGTGGGGGATGATGAAAAAAAAACCCATCCCTAGGTTAAATGTAGGACCCTAAAAAAATATTTTTCAAAATTTTATTCTGTAATTTTGTCAGCGCGATCGATATACACATACCTCCACAAAATTACAGCTCTCTAGTACTAATAGTCTCTAAGCAAAACCGTGGACGGACAGACGGCCATGACAAAACTATAAGGGTTCTTTGTCAGGACTACAGAACCCTATAAATGGGAAAATAATTACATTAAGTAAATATGGGAAGATTTTATTATATGACTTTATAATGAACTAGGATAAATAGCTTTAAGGTTTACCAATCCCTTTCAGACAGTTTGTACCTTTAAATCTGTCATTTAATCAGAACTGTACAAATGAAAGGTATTCTTGGGCATATGGTAGAATAGGGTATTTGACAGTATTAAAAATAAAGTGTTAATTGTTAGCATCTGTGTTTAGAATGAATATTGGCAGGGGTTTTTACTATTTTTACAAAAAAATATTCATAATTTTTCTAAAAACCTACAAACAAGATAATAGTTTTCTTATCTATTGTCACGTGACCCAAAACGCTTGGGATTGGCATAGCCAAAAATGACGTCACACGAAAATAAACTTCCGATTAAAGTGACATTACATTGTATCGTTTGACGTTCTAATTACAGTCGTGTGACGTCACACACTAGTAAGACGTCATATTGCCCAGAAAATCGTTTTCGCGGCAACTTGAAAATGGAGTTTTTGATTTGGTTATTTTTACTGTAATACACAACAGAATGAATGATGAATCTACTTTTTACGGACTCCATAAACATTATTCAATAACGTGAGATCGTTTTCTAAAACTTGTCAAATACCCTATTTAGTAACTCATACACAGAGTACCTACATATGACGCAAATTTTAAGCTCACTTATCGATGCATACGTGTGTCCCTAACATGAATATCGATTCCTTATTGAACATTTTGACTGAGGCTCGGCATTTTTTCCTCTTTCTTTTTGAGCAGTACCAGCTGGTTCTTCCATCAATGTTCCTGTAGTTGGTAGAGTAAGTGTAGTTACCGATCCCTAGTAAATATCCACCTCTGGGTAGCGCCATAATCGTGAAATCTGAAAGTAATTACTGTTTATTAATTCAGAAACAGGTGACAATCATTTCAATGCACATCCGTGGGAAAGTCTAACTGGACATTTTAATTTTTTTTTTTCATTGTGGTATCGATTCTGGCATCTCAAAACCAAATTTAATATCAGTCTTACCTTTTCATTCTGTATAGAAAATAACAAAGATACACTGTTATCATATTTAAGTTTAGATTTAGAGAAGCATACTAGAATCGGCACCAGTAACGAATTACATAATATACATAACTGTCAAATAAATAAGTCTTAGTTAATTTTAGTTTATTTTTATTTTTTTAGCAGATGTTTAAATCTTAATAAAAATTAAGGGTCACGGTAGCATAATGGTCAGTGCATTTGCGGCATACTTCGGCCCTAACTAGCATAATGGTCAAGTGCATTCACGGTATACCTCGGCCCTAACTAGCATAATGGTCAGTGCATTCGCGGTATACCTCGGCCCTAACTAGCACAATGGTCAGTGCATCCGCCCGGATAGCGGAGGGTGCGGATTCGAGTCTTCTAGTAAAATAAGTCTAATTTAAAAATCATATTTTTTATTTATCACTTAGCTTTGACTCGTTGTTATTAAATACTTAATTCTACAGTTGTCACCAAAACTGTTATTAAGTTAACATTTTACACTTTTTATTTATCAACTTTCACGGTGTTCGCACTTTAAATAACAAACGATTAGCAGTGGAAGTCATCCGAAGTTAGTAGGAATTCAATATTTATTACATATTAATAATTATTTAAAAATAATCATCACTTTAGCCTTTTTGGGCTGCGAAGGCACAGGCTTCACCACAAAAACTATTCAAAAATAATGACTACAACTAATGGTCCGTACTCACTAAGGTATTATGGCGCGATTACATTTGGTCGCTAGCCCGAACACGAGTGCCAATGAAATTCAAGTAAACGACTAAGTCACGGTAATGACAGATAATATTACCGTGACTAAGTGTTAATGAATGGATCGAGTACGCCCTTATTCGGGTAGTTTTCATTTTGGTTACCCGACACCATTTTCCTTCTTTTTGTGTGTGTATGTTGCTGGTCGCAAATGACCTTAACAGCGTCACCGGGTTGCCCATCTTCCAGTGTAAATATTGCTTCGGGTGCCCGAATGCGTGAAAATTAAGTGTCGCCCGACGAAATGGGCGAGCGCCGCCCCGGACGGCGGTTTTGTTGAGCGACGCGCACGCATCATATTAATATAGATATATATATTTAACAACACCAATTAGCCTAGCCCCAAAGTAAGCGCTGTAAGGCTTGTGTTGTGGGATACTAGGGTATAGAATAGAATACAAATGCTGAACATTTAATATATTTGTATAGAAATATGCATCCCCGCGCGCCGCATTCCTCGCGCCGGGTGCAAGCGAAAGACGCAAACCTACCTCTCCCACTCGCACATCACTCAAATTAATTATTATGTACCTACCCAATTTATTGTCAATTAATTAATGTTAAATATATATATATATATACGATGCTTTCTCGAATAAAAGACATTCCTTAACTGACCATCAAGAGTTTAATTTACTGAAACCTACATTCACTAAAATGTCATTCGTACACCCGAATACGGGCTAACGAACAAGTGTAATTGAGCCATTCCCCGATAGTTTTGCTCTAAAGCGAATAAAAATCAACGCGTCGCGTCCTACGAACGAGCCTTCGAGTTGTGAGTTTTGCGGTTCACGCGTTATTTTTACTCGTTTTGGAGTAAAATTATCAGTGAGAATGTGGGGTGCTAACGACTGCAGATGCAGCCGGGACCAACGGCTTAACGTGCCTTCCGAAGCACGGAGGAGCTCGAGATAGTAAATTTTTGGTCACCCATCCAATGACCGACCACTGCGAAAGTTGCTTAACTTCAACGATCGCAGCCGAACGCGCTGACCACTTGCGCCATCGAGCTCCTTTATAACTATAGTCACATTTAACTATGTATCAAACAGCGCGCCCAAAGAAACAATAGCGAACTTAACTCCAGTAAATCACTTACAGTACTTTTTAGAAAAACATGCATTCGAAAGACTTCATATCAATCAACCTGGGAGTTGCACCATTTATGTGCGCTTTTTTAAGTCGAATCTCTTATCGAACTTGCCTTCCAGCATAAAAAACATTTACAGCGCTGGTACCAACGATTTCGGTCGAATGAGTTCTGTCCCCGTGTGTGTGTTCGCCGGTGACCGCAAACACTTTCCCGTTTGACATCTTCACTCGGGCTGGGCATTTCTTGCTGATGCGCTTAGAACAGTACCACGTGCTGCGACCATCTGTAGTCTTCATGTTGGTAGAAAACGAATGGTTCTCGATCTGCATAAGGTAACCACCGGAAGGTAAAGGAACAAGTAGAACTGAAATGAAAACCTTGAATTATTATCAGCATACGACGGATTAAAAGTACCGCGTACAAAAAGTCCCCTAATAATCGAGGATGCTGAGAGATCGGACCGGACAGAAGCACGGGGGACTCCCCGAAAACAATAGACTAGACGCAGCAACGGACACAGAGAACTTAAGTTAGCGTTGCGCGCTCGATCGAATCCAATTAATATGGCCCAGTATTCTTAATTAAAACGTTTTCACTTTTTCTTAAACTTCATGTTAATTACAACACAACGAAATATCAAAATATTTGCTTCTATAGCGTGCGCTAATATATTGAAATTTTCGGGCAACAACACGTTCGCAAATCGTGTGCGTTGAGTCCGTGGTAAGCTCCCGGCGGACATTTTTTTCACGATTCTAGGATTTTTGTCCTCTTCGGACAAAAGCCCTTCTTTTGCGCAGGCCCTTTAAGATGAATCCATACTAATATTATAAATGCGAAAGTGTGTCTGTCTGTTACATCTTCACGCTTAAACCACTGAATCGATTAAGATGAACTTTGGTATAGAGATAGCTGAAGTCCCGGAAAAGATCATACGATCATTTTTATTCTAACCCTTTTAGAGAGTGAAAAAGGGGGGTAAGGCACCCACTAGTTGTTAAATAAAATAAGCCCTCGAATTTCGTTACAATTAAAGAAAAACTTTTTATTGCCAATAAAACCACCTTCTAATTGTTCAGTGTTACCTTATCCTAATAAGGAAAAATACTGATCTTACATTCCCGCGTGGGTCACACCAGGAATGAAACCAAGTGCGTTTCGTTTAAAGTTTATTTTCTAAACTGTGATATCGTTTGTAGTGTTAACTGCCTGTTGTGGCCCGCGCTTTTTATATACATCCTAAGAACAAAATAACTGAATATAAAAATTATCTAGGCATAAGGTGGTGTCGATTCTGGCATGCTTTTTGAAACCTAAAATTAATATTTTCTTTAGATTTACACCTAAAATTAAATTTCACAACAGTTATATATTTGTCAATCTCCATACAGAATGAAAAGGAGAGACTGATGTAAAATTTAGTTTTAAGTTAAGAAAATCATGCCAGCATCGATACAATTATATAATATAGATAAGTAAAAAATAATGTAGCTATACTAAATGTAAGCGTGGGTTACACCAAGAGCGTTGCAGACCAGTGTACATGTAGTGTTAACGGTCCGCTGTGAGTGTGTGACCCGCGTTTAATGGTTTTTACAGCTTATTAGAACAATATTTTTATATTAAAGTAAATTTAAACTATTAGAATTATTGTTACACAGATCTCTTGCCCGTGCACAAAAATGTTCCATAATTAAATCATACCTAATGGTAATGACGTAAAAATTATACAAAACTGATGATTTTATATAATTAATAAAATTATATTAGTAATAAGAACAACTTATTTAAAATAGGTTAACTGGTTACATAAAAATGTATTGCTAGTATCAAACATACTTGTGGTGATTATTTACATAAAGTTTTCCTAACTATAACTATTCGTATGTGCTATTAACTCAGACAAAAGTTTAAATGTACAGCATAATTACAGATTGTGTTATTAAGTTACTATAAAAATGTTTATCTACACTCAAGTCGAAATATTCCAATTACGAATTTAAAGATGGTTTTATAAGGACCTACATTGTAAAATTACAAATAAAACTCATTACAGTACTTCAAGCTGCATCGTAATAGTTATTTATGCAACTGTGTTGTATTAAAACAAGAGTGTGGGATAATAGTATCACATAAGTGTTTTTATACCTAATTATAACAGTTGCATACAAGATTTGATCCACACCCATTATATAAATCCTTTATAAAAGATTTAAGAAGGGGGGAAAGGGCGTTTTAAGAACCAACTTAAAATTCATGAAAAATTTCGGCGTAATGGTAGTGAAGCGCGCGTGGATGACAGTATTCTTTTTTTTAACTCAAAATACCACGCATCCAAAATAAAAAATTGTGGCTGTCTGATGAGTAAGCCCTTGGCGCGGAATAGCGAAAGATTGTTATTATGAAATTAAAAAAAAAACACAAAAGCTAGTATCTTTAATAGTGGTTTTAAAGCATGGGTGTAGATAAAATAACTTTTTAATAATTATATAACCGTTTTATTTTTTTATTTAATCTATAAGAATGAAATATCATACTAATTTTACTCTTTTTCACATTCAGCCTAATAAGGTTGATTCGTAGTTTAAATTTAATGTTCCGTGTTTGCAATAAAATTTTTAGTAGAGAGAGAGAGAGAGTAGTAGAGTATTCGAGATTTCATAACAGTTTTGCAAAGTACTTCTTTGTTACCTAGCTACTTTGCATAATTTCAATTGTTCGTATGAGTGAAGATAAAGAAGTATATGCAACTGAATATAATTTAGGTATTAAACACTCGTGTCAACCTATCATCGCAACAGACTTTCTTGTTTTTCGATCAAGTTGAAATTTGGTACGTACATGTATATCTATGACTATATAAATTCGGAATATGGAAGTTGCTTTAGGGAAAGGAAATTAAATATTAAACTAAATGAACCCTTTTATACCTATATCAAACGATACACCTATTTTTTTATGAATGTTAAATAAAAACTTTGAGGAACTTTATTTTCTTAAATATTTTAAGAAAATAAATGAAAATTGACCTGTACAACATTATCTCCGTAACTACATTGTCTAAAAAAAATTAAAAAATGCTCTTTGCTTGTAAATTTAAGGAAAACCTATAGGAAGTTCACAGTAATTAAAATAAAATTAATATTTGTAGGCCCCCCTTAAATATTCCTATGCAACTGATGTGATGTTTTGCCGTTGATTGGTCGATATTAAAATATAGTGTCTGATTTTGTACAGATAATGGCACGGAACCTTCTTGCGCGATTCCGACTTAACCACCTCGATAAAAGTACAAATGATGCTAATTATTATTATTATGCCATAATTTATTCACAATTAACAAAACCCGATGCACAATCGACGAAAAAGGTGAGTGTTATAAACATAGTTTTATGCAGTACATTGTACTAAATGCTATTATCTGATGCCTCAATTTATCGATCATACTCGAATACCTATATTTGAATACGCGTTTGCAAATACCGTTTAAATTGAAAATTTGGTATAAGCTTTGATTTCTTAAGTTCTTTGTATTAGCGTAGCTAGGGATTTTTTTTAAGGGGACAGGGAACAAGGGACAGTTGACCCTGCATGAATTCAGAAATTAATTTGTCATTCACACTAGAATTTGAGTGTAGGCATCACAGACATAGATGTAGTCAAAATTTGACACGCAATTTGAAGTACATGCGGTGTCTACTTCAATCTAGGTACAGACCTAGATTTAGTTACCCACTACGGGGTAGGTATAGTCCACCCATGCCCCCCCCCCTCCCCTAAAACGAACCATAACCATGAGGTGGACTCAAATTTGTGTTTCGTTTTCGGTGGTTGCCGGTCATAAGTTTCCGTGACATACAGATCTTTACAGCTTCCTCCGCCGTGTAATTGCTGTGTACGAACCGCCTTAGAGTAGTTTTCGGCACGGAATATACTTGCACCGCTTTTTTCAAGCCCATTCTGCCTGCTCTTAAGTCCTTTATAGCGTTGACCATGTTTTCTTGGTTCCACATTCGTCTCTTCGAGCTGCTTTCGTGTAACTGGACCTGTAGATAATCTGAAAATGTAAATAAATTGCTGTCATTAGTCATCCATTCATGATAATGTAATAAGAAGTAGTTAGCAAAAAGTCCGAGCATAATTCCTATGCATAAACTTTAGCGCCACGTTTGTACATCACTGTCGACAAATAAAATTCAATGTTATCAGGGAAATTCCTCATTAGGGTCAGAAGTGGAATGGGAGAACGGAATGGATCAACACAAAGCAAGTTGGCTTTTATTAATAAAATATTACAAAACTTGTGTGATAATAAACTATTTTAATAATAATAAAAAAAAACTGTTATTGTTTTTGTTTCACTATTATGTACAGGTCGCGGCATGTAACTAACGTTGAAGAAAACGCGAAGAGGATAGCTGCGCATGAGTACGGGAGCCAATCGTCGCAACGCACGCCCGCCCGCGCACCTCGTTTCCCCCCAAGACATCTTAATTTTTACTTCTGCGCAATAACGGTCAGCGCTAGAGTTTCGTGCCGCGACTTATAATGTTGTTGTTTAAGGCTAATAAATCTTTTTCTTTCTTTCTTTCTAATTGTAAATTTTACAAAATTTAATTCTTGTTAGGGCGCCGTGCATGTTGTGTCTCGTCCTTAATTAGCATTGAGAAGCTATATGTATTGTCTAACAAAGTATCCACGAGTTTTAAAATGAGACAATGAGTTATGATTCCAGGAAAAATCTGATCATAAGGATAATAACAAACAAATAAAATGCAACAAATAACAATATTATAAAACAAATACATATGTACGGATTTTATTCACAGTATGAATTATGGTGTTTATACGCAGTACATATAAATCCTGACTTTCTACTACTGATATCATTCGGAGAATTAATGGCTTTACGGTACACGTTATCTCTGTTCATTGGTTATAAGAACTAGCAGTAAAAAAAAAAGTATGTGCTCAAATAGTGTAGCCGCGTATCGCATAACTTTTTATAATCTCAAGCAATTATTTAGTTCAAAATAAACAGCTTCTTCTATGGATTTTGATGAACAAAAATAAGTATATAAAAATTATGAATCGAGAAAAGAGTTGTGCTTATCACTCAGATAAGTTGGGACTCGAACCTAGGACTTTTGGAGCAGAATGGAAGATTGATGTAGCAATATATTGCCTATTTTTGAAAGATAACTTGCTGTGTGCAATTATATCTAAAATAATTACTGATGTATATCTTTAGATTTCGGCAAACATCTATACTTACTCACTTATGTACAATGATTGTGAAAGATTGTTAACAGTTTATGGATAAAACGAATCTTTATGGTTTTATCGACAACTGTTATTATTTTTAAATATAAATATAATTGAGTCAGTATTTTTTGTTTCCTGGTGTATAAAGACAAATCGGTGCAGAAGATGCTACTTTTTAGTTTTAAATTAAACTAAATAAAAACGTACCTACATACAAGTGTTTTTTGTGATGTATAGAGATTTTTGTGATGTATCAATACAAATTATTATTGCTATAAAACTATACTCCCTGTCAAATAAAGCTGTGAAAAATATAAAGAAATGGGTATATGCAACATTAAAAATTAAAACGAATCTAATCCGTTAAAACACAAAATCAATAATTTACCATTGGTGTTCTTGTACCACAAAACAGCAAACGAAAGCATACAATATAGCGCCAAGTATAACAAAACTCATTAAAAATGTACGTGGTTTCTATATTTCTAAGATTAAATTAAATAATAATAGTCAATTGTAGTGGCTTTTCAACTTGGTAGTGGATGTTTATTTATGTAATTTATAGATTCTCTTGATAACGAATTTCAGTAACCTCTAAAATTTTGAAAGGCTTTACAAATACTTCTGAAGTAGCATAACGACTATGTGCAAATATTAATCACACTTAATATATAACCCATCACGTATTAAATACCTCGCCGGAGGATGAGTGTGGGCATTATCAATGCCCAGAAACGTGTAATTCCCATCCAACTTGAGTTTTGCATTGCATCCTTTCCAGTTGTGCGTTGAGCAGTACCAATGGTACTGATTGTTTCGTTTGTTCTGCTTCTTACAATAATACGTGTAGTCGTTGAACATGACTAGGTTTCTTCCCGTGTACCTTGATTTGGCCAATATCACCACTGGAATGGGAAATATAAACGGTTAAGTCTGCACAATACGGAGTTCAATTAAGCCGCATTTCCGGAACTCCTTGGCCACGAACTTGCCGCTACGAATGATGTCTTAGAGCGAGGCGCTGTGCGATGTGAATAAATGTTAGCAACACGCCACGAAGCGAAGCCCACAGCAACACGAGGCTAGCCCAGCTTACTGAATACACACAGACCGTCGCTGCGGTCATCGTAAAATCCTAACCAGGCAGTCAGAGGCAGCACCGAAGCGAGCAGTTCAAGTGGAGACGGCCACGTCGTCTCAGGTTGGCGCTTGATGCGTGACGTGAGGCTTATACGCTTTTCAAATGTTAAAAGGGTGGCAAACAAGCTTATTGTCTGCCCAATGGTAAGTGGCCAACAAAGACTACAGAGGATTGCGATAGAAAAACTATCACTTGCCTACTCTGACCCTGCTACCCCGTGGAGCAATGGAACTTCACTGACCGACGGAGCCACAAAACCACCAAAAAGTAGCGTTGTTTTATTGTGATTCTGTAAGGTGGAGGTTACTACCAACGTTTTTCATTCGTTTATTATAGTTTTTGCCTATTTAAAGGTGTTTTGTGATGATCACTGTTCAAGCAAAGCTGTGGGATTGGACTCTACTCAAGGCACGCTCGCAGAAAAGAAAAGGGAGCAAGCTTACAGGTGAGCTGCTATTAGAAGAATTTCGCCTGAGTATGATATAAGCGACTTTTGTGAACAAAATCTCACCAAATTACTACGCCTCCCCTGGTTGTTCATATTTCTGAAGTAGACGGCTGATAAACCAGAAAACGTGTCGCTTTAGCCATAAAACATGATTAATGCAAATTTTACCAAAATAATAAAACTACTTTATACCAGATTTCAAACCCGAACTTGTGTTAAATTAGACGATCCCATAATCAAGACCTTTATAACTGCAGGCAGACACGCTACATTCATAACTTTTTTAATGTTAAAAGGGTGGCAAACAAACCTATGGCTCGCCTGATAGTAAGACTGGGCGCTCCAATTCGAGCTGGAAAATTCTCTATGCCATACCTCTCTAGTATAACACAATGTATTAATCCTCATGAAACATATTATCTTCGTGCTTCTTATGTTGAGTTCATTTCAGTAACTACCAACAAGTATCAAATGAAAAGTCGGTTAAGGACGATAGTTTTATTGATAACGTCATGATAGAAAAGAGATAAATGTGTACAAGCCGACGCTTGGGCCGATCGTGGCTCCCTATCGCATGGTCCGCGCTCTCGCTTGCTCAGGCTCAGACGGAACGTGACACTTTTTCGAGCGTGTTCATCGATTCATATGACGATATCACGTCAAAATAAGGGTTGCTAAGATTTTGTTGACTTTTTTGAATATTGAATCTAAGTTTCCAGCCGTAATTATAAAGTACTGGCCTCACTTTTTAACAATCGTACATATTTTTATTTCTATAAGTAAATAACGTTAAATATTACCTTTTAGCTCTTGGCGATTTATTATCCCTAATGAACTGTCTTTATACAGTTTACAGGTTTCAATAAAAAAGTTCATTTACAATATCTATTTTTATCAATAGCTTCCAACATCGAGATTTGCTTTTTTTAAGATAACAGAAGTATTTGCTTTCAGTATAATGCTTCTGGTTCAATAAATATAGTTAACAAAGCTTCAATACATTCTTTATATAGTTATAAAAATATTTTACGAAATCTGTAAGTGAACATAATTCGATTCAAAATACATTTTCTGTACAGTAAATATGGAAAATAATAAAGTGCTATTAATTGTCAAAGGTACCAATCAATTGACAATGGATCGTGAACATGATCTGAAATTTCTTGACCTGCTTAAAAGCGTAATTCCTAAATAATTAATTAAATAATAAATAATTTTTAAGAACACCGTTCGATACGTATGTTATTTTACCTAAGAGCACTGATAATAAAGTATTTACTTTTACCACAGCCTGTCAGAATCGACATTATGTAAAGAAGTTTATTTAACTCAATCTAACCTAGCTTAATCTAACCTATAACTTCATTGATTCATGCTTCAATATAAATAGGTAGTAACTAAATCAAACCACTCGGTGGGTAAAATCTGTTTGCACTAGCCGTGTTAATTTTACGTCAACCTTGAAAATTGTTAAATTATACATTTGTTAAAAATAATGCGTATAATTTTGACAAAACCTAATCAATAAAAATATTTTTTTCAGCATTTCAAATATCGCCCATTGTCAATAACATATTGTGGTGGTTGGTGATAATGTATTAATACAGATCGAACAAGGGAACGGTACATGTCATTTGTTGTAGTCAAACGACCCTTGCACTTGCCGTTGGTGCACCTCCAAATATTCGTTTTGGAGTTCACTTTGTGTAGGTAAAACGTGAATCCGTTAACTATGGCGAGCTCCTTGCCGCATGTTTTGCGGACCCAAGTCACTGAAAACATATCTCTTATGAATACGTGTAATATCATGCTTTTAAAAAATCAGTTTTTTTTATTATTAAATTGTTTTATTTCTTTACCCAGGTTCAGTATTCAGCCCGACACTTTCCTAGCAGATCACCTTGGATAAGAAAGAATCGAAAATTTAGCGCTTGAATGAATATTTCGCACACCTTACGCGATAATTAACAAATATATACATTTACTGATGAAAAACTTCATTAGGAATTTATTTTATTCTTCAGGAAACCGAATAAGATTGTTAAAAACTTTTCTTTAGATTTAAACACCTAGCAGTTAAATGCTTAAAAAATAAAAACATAACCATAATTGCTATTTCTTCTGTTAAATGTTTAATTCCTGTAAAGGTATTCATTTGACATTGTGGGTAACCTACAATGCGAAGAGATGGCGCTGCCTTGCAGCCTAAGGCTAGAGAAAATTCGACGCAACCGTCAGGGCCGCGGTAGCACAATGGTAAGTGCATTCACCCGGATAGCGAAGGGTACGGGTTCGAGTCCCGTCTGCTGCCTGGTTCGCGTGGAGTTTTTTCTAGTAAACTCTCTCTTTAGATTTAAACATCTAGCAGGTATATGCTTATAAAATAAATACATAAAGATTGTGTAAGTTCGAAATGAGATGTTGCAGTTAAAATGTACCAAATTTAATAAAATTTCTATTTAAAAACATTTAATAATTTTAATCTTATTTATCACAATTTCTCATATTACACAAATGTATCAATAACTAAATGGGGACAGTGTAATGTAATAATATGTAAAAATGAAATTATATTTCCAGCTACATAGCTTAACTTATGAAAGAAGATACATTATTCTATTTCCTAAATACTGCACAGGCGCACCTGTGTGTCATAGAGAAAAATTGTATGTGTCCGCAACGTACCTAAGTCGTTATTTTTATATGTTGTGAGTGTCAGTGTTATGAATAGCGAGATTCTTCAGCCAAGATGTTATGTAACTATTGGCATAGAGCTCACGTACTCTGAAACATTTATATTTTTGTACTACATCATTCGTTTTTTTCACCTGTTACATTAATTTAATTTCTTTTTTTTTAATTTGTTTAAAGCAGTTTGAACTGTTGCTTCGTGAATAGCAAATGTATTCAAAAACATAGTTTTACAGACTTTAGTTTTATTACCCAGATCTGGTTCATCCAAATTATTGGGTAAAAAATATTTAATAGTAAAATTTCTTATGGATGGGCCTTTTGTTGTCCTAGTCTTAGTTCCGCTTCTCTCGCAGAACTTTGCTAAGAAATCCCACTGGCGCTTACGATCACCAAGGGACCAATATTTTGTGAATATATCTTTTCTTAAAGAATCAGTGATATTTCTTTTGCACTGAAACCTACATTTTTCGTCACAGCCCGGTAACAGCTTTTTCTTAAGTTTTATCTTCCCGTCATGACTCAAATACTCTTGTCCCAGGTTTTTTAATAATTTATTAGCTGCTCTTTTACTGCATTTCTTGAATTTCTGAATACACTTCCTTTTTATCGATATTCTTTCAACACTATCTAAGCTATCCATATCTGAAGACACAAAAAGTAAATTCCAGTCTAAGTCTTGATGTGATAGGCCGTCTACATTTATGCTATTTAGTGGATCTGAAAAGAAAACCGGATAAATTTCAGTTATTAGTGGCAAAGTATACCAGCAGTCTAGCACAACAGTAACTTGAATCGTGCTAGTCAAAGTCAACACCCTCTATGCTGGATTGTACGACGCTCCTGTTTATTGTTGCTTTTTTATATTATTATTTATATTTATTGTTGCTATTTATTTTACATGCTATTTTATTTTTATTATTCTCATGTACCTAAATTCCGATCCAATTTACCATTATAGTTGCAACTAAATAGAAGTGATAAATTATAAAGAACTTGTAATTACTGGAGGATAATTTTATTTTCAGCTTATGTAATAGTAGTATCAACACTAAATAGCAATAAAGTATCTCTTATCTATTAGACAAGTCCGTCCGTCCGTCTGTGGTGCTGTTTCAGCGGTCAAACCGTAAGAGATAGATAAAGAGAATATTTAAGTTATAAGTTAAGAATAGTCTGATAAGACTACAAACCAGATTTGAGTAACGTAGCACTTCCGGTTTTCGAGAAATCACGAATTTCAAATGAAACCACACAAAATCTCCGAAGTTCTCAATTAATTAAATACATTTTTTTTTAAATCAGGTTTTGGTGAACATTTGGTTCACTGGTTTGCTAGTTTTTTTTATAACTTTAAACAATTATCTAATGTAGTACCACCTACTTAACCTGAAACTTGTAAGGCAAAGAAATAAACGTCAGGAATATTTTCGAAACAATTAAAATTACGATATTCTAGTTTCTGAAAAAGAAGAAATCTTTATGTTATAAGCTCAATAACTTAAGATAAAACGTTTTGTGTACATTAAAAAGTTTCATTAGCTAAAGATTGCAGGATTACTAAGAAGTTATATCATTGCAAAGATTTATACGACAGATTGGAGAGCAACACAAAAAATATTCTTCATCCACGATGACGTCAAAGACATACTAAAGATTAGATGTCATGTGGGCGACAGGCCCTTAGAATAATCAAAGAAAAAGTAAAAAAATGCTATTTATATGAATTCAACCTCTAGCCACTTTTTAAACTTAAGTTTAAAGACGATAACATTGCATAAATAGAAACAAAATGGTGTCGATTCTGGCATGATTATCTAAACCTAAACTTAAATTTGACAACAGTATATCTTTGTCATTGTCTGTACAGAATGAAAAGGAGAGCCTGATGTTAAATTTAGGTTTAAATTTGGAGAATCATGCCAGAATTGACACCAATATATACTTTAATGCACAGTTATAAACATATTTTAACTACACTCTCAGTATCGGCAGTTAAAATGCAAACAGCCTTTTTGTTGCTTTCAAAGGCAGACGAGCGGACAGACCACCTGATTAGGTCACCGTCACCCATGGACATCAGTAATGCGACACAGCCAGTATGCTGCCTTTCGTGGAACACTCTATTTGTAAGCCTCTATTGAAGAAGACCGCGTCATAGTACTGAGGATACACCGTGGAGGAAAACTGTACTTTAATGTTCTTGTTAATTAATATATCTTATGATGATCTTATAATGTATTATGAACAATCAAAAATAACCTGTAATTTTGGTGGCTGATTATTTATTATGATACATCATAAATTATTGTAGAATGACGATGATGATATAATTATGATCGAATGAAACAGCCAAACTAAAAAAAAACACAAAATTGCAGGTAATTTTTATTTCTACACTGTTATTTTCACTGAAAAAAATATTGAATTTGACCGGTAAGAATTCAATATAAAATATGTTTATTAGGTTTTGGCTTTAACGCTTCTTACTGCTGGTCGTTTTACGCCGACAAAATTCTATATCAAAGAACTTATTTACAATATCTGTATAGTGCCTAATAGTCGTTGCTTTATTGGTATATACATTAGATTGCTGAACCCAAACAGTATACAATTGAAACATTTTAGTTATAGTGAGCCTACCGTCTAAATAAGTCTTAGCCAAATTCTCTTTTGAATAATGTGGCTTTACTCGAGCAAAAGAATTCACATGATCGCAGACGCTACGTATCATTTCATCATCTATAACTTTATGATGATTACGATGACGACCTCTTTTATCTCCTGCTACAATAACTCCATTGCCTTCGCTTAATTTATTTAAAGCAGTATTAACGGTTGAATTGGAAATAGCAAAAGTATTCAAAAACATTGGCCTGCAAACCTTAATTTTGTCTTGCATTTCTTGATTATCCAATTTATTGTGTAAAAAATATCGGATAGTAAATTGTCTTGAAGATTCATGTTCCGTTGTTATTCTCCTCTTTCGTATTCTTTCACATAAGTTAGTTATAAATTCCCACTGTTTTGCACAATCACCAAGTGACCAAAATTTTCGAAATATTTCCTTTCGTACGGTCTCACTAATTTTATTGTGACACTGAAGCCGACACTTGTGGTCACAACCCGGTAACAATTTCTTCGATGGCATTATCTTTCCGTTTCGACTTGAATATTCTAGACCTAAGTTCCTAAGCGATTTTCTTTTGCAATCTCTCCAATTACCCTTATCAGTTTTCCGAATTATTTTCCTTTTTTTTACATGAACTGCGACCTTTTCCACCGTTTTTGACTCTGAATCTGATTCATATATCTTATGTATTTCATTGTTTAATGGATCTGAAAAACAAATTAATTTTAGAACATCGCATCAACATAATCATATGGTAACTAATTCGTTTAATATACTTACTATAATAATATTTTCTTAACATTGTTTAGAGAAGAAATATCAGCAATAAAACTAATAAGTATAACCATAATAGTACTAGTTTAACTAATAAGTATGTCGGCGAATGGCGTCTCGCTCGCTCCTGCGAAACGTAAAACCTACAGCAAATGTCATCAATCATTGTACCATTGCTTTGTGAAACGTCAAGTTATGACAGTGACAGCTGTCATCACTTGGGAGTGGTCTATGCTAAGGGTAGTATTTAAGGGGGTAACGCTTCATTGGAAGGGGCATTCAGCATTCGGCATTCGGCATTCAGACGTGAGCTGCGATAGTGAACGGACGTTAGCACAGAACTCTCCGCGCTTCACAAAGCAATCCGTTTGTACCTTGACAATCATAACTGATTTTGTAAAGTAATAAGAAGATTCAAATTAAACGTTAGCTTGGTCACTAGACTACAGTTTTATTTACGGGAAATATCATTGAATAACCAAGATGGCGGATCAAGAAAAACCACGTGGCCAACCACCGCCTATATATCCAGCTCGCCCCTCCGACATCAGAAGCGGGATTACCCAGTGATGAAAACCAGCGTAAAAATATCAGTAATGGCGACGAGAGATGGATGAGATTTGTGGAGCATCGAATACGCAACTTTATGGCCGTAATTCAAGCGATGAAGTTACCGTCGGCAATAATAGGATAACTTCATTCACCACTGCGCGTGAAGAACTGTCCGTGGAACAGCAGCAAGCAGAGCAGCATTAGTAGTACTGGAGGGCTTCCACATGAGAAGCGTGTAAACGTCTACACCGTGAACGCACCTACAGGGACGCTACGACATGCCGGGTGAGCAGTTTCATTTTACATAAGATTCAGGGGCTGAGTGTTCATTAATTAGAGTTTCTAATGGGTATAGTGGGTTTTCTGTTAGAATTGGAGTGCCCCTATGTGGAAATAACCTTAACCTTACAGAAGACCACAGGAAAATAACTCTACCGTTGATAAAATAACTCTGCTCTAACCGATGTTTTGTTTCTGTCGGTAAGTAAGGTTCCAGGGCTCCACGGGTTAGGGAATTGGGTCAGGGTAGACAACAGCGCGAGTGAAATTAGTGGTATCGCAATCATCTATAGGCTATTGTAGTCACTTACCATCAGGCGGGCCATATGCTTGTGTGCCACACTTTTAACATAATGAAGAAAAAAGTCATCGCGGTATAAGAAAATGATCGGTATACGTTGAAGGCATAAAATTCCATGCGCATATGACTGTTGAGAAAAATGCCCAAAAATAATGTTCCTACTGAGACTAGTGATATAGACGATGTAGAGCTCACTTACCAATATTCTGAGCCTATGACTGTCTAATTAGATGATTGTCGATTTAACTATCTAGGTTGATTTTAATTATGCTTTGCTAAGCTCTTAGAGCTGATGTATTGCTCGATTTAGGCAATATGTTGGCTAGGTTGCTTGAGGCAACGTGTGGTTATCGTCACCTGGAGGTGGCAAGGTTATCGTCACTTGATAGGGACCGTTACTTGTTAAAGGCATTAGATTCCAACAGAACATACAGGTATGCCCACAATAGACTGAGAAGGATGCCTGAAGCTCAAATAGTTTTAGAAGAGTTAGTTGATCAGAGTGTTGATCATGTACCGGAGGTTTCCGACACATTGCGTGATTGAATTCAGTAGCACTTGATGGAGGTGTTACTGAGGCGCTAGTTAGGGGTATAGCACAACGCTTGATGGAGGCGTTGTTGGCTATGTGCTTGATGGAGGCACTGGGTGGCACTGTAGAGAATCGCGGCATGTGTTCGGAATGTTCAGATGCTAAGTTTAAATTTGATTTTGAGCTAGAACTTCAGAAGTCCTTTGAAGTCTATTAATTAAGGGCTACTTTTCGTTAGTATGTAATAAACCTGTTCAGATAGTTGTAAAAAAGTCTTTGACAAATGTGATTGTTGTGTAACGGCGTTTTATTGGTCAGAGATGACCGAGCAATGGTAAATACTACTGGCGTGATATTTCTTTACAGACGCACACGAGGACGTGTGATGCTGCAGGATGGCCGTGTCGGCGAATGGCGTCTCGCTCGCTCCTGCGAAACGTAAAACCTACAGCAAATGTCATCAGTCATTGTACCATTGCTTTGTGAAACGTCAAGTTATGACAGTGACAGCTGTCATCACTTGGGAGTGGTCTATGCTAAGGGTAGTATTTAAGGGGGTAACGCTTCATTGGAAGGGGCATTCAGCATTCGGCATTCAGACGTGAGCTGCGATAGTGAACGGACGTTAGCACAGAACTCTCCGCGCTTCACAAAGCAATCCGTTTGTACCTTGACAATCATAACTGATTTTGTAAAGTAATAAGAAGATTCAAATTAAACGTTAGCTTGGTCACTAGACTACAATTTTATTTACGGGAAATATCATTGAATAACCAAGATGGCGGATCAAGAAAAACCACGTGGCCAACCACCGCCTATATCCCGCTCGCCCACTCCGACAAGTATATATTTACAAACTGACTGCCTTTTCAATGTGTTTTCCTACAACTGGCCTGCTGGAAGAAATTTCAGATTGAAATACGCTGTGCCCTTGTACTTATTTTGTAATTTCTGAGTATTTATATTTGTGTATACAAAATGTATAAATAAATAAAATAAATAAGTTTTAAATTTGAATACTTTTATATTATTTCCAATTATTTGGTATTCGAGCTAGCATTTTTGGTTATTTTATTGAGCTATAAGTTGATTTTTTTTAATTATTTAATTTGTATTAACAAATGTGTTGGTATGCGATAGTAATAATATAAGTCTCTACAAGTTAACTTAACTGTGCACATAGCAGCGCTTATAGTACGTCGAAATAAATAGAGAAATAAAAAAAAAATGTTATCCACGAATAGGATATTAAGTTGTTATCGTGTTACCATACCATATTATTAAAATATTCAGTCTTTTTCAGACCAATTTTTTTGAACAGTGAGCATTCCTGTTACTTTTAGGTATATAACTTCCTTGCTTGTGTTCTTTAAAGTTTTTTAAAAAGAGGAATAATATTTGTTGTAATAAATAAGATAATGTCGTAGCAATGATGGCGGAAATATTAAAAATATCCTTCCGCCACCGCCTATAGACAGACAAAAATACTAAAAAAAGAATATTACAGTAAAATAAACTCAAAATACTAAATAGCAGAATGTAGAATAAGCGACTGGCGCTAAATAGGTTCATTCAAAGAAGAAATACGTAAAATCTGCTCCGGTTACTTTATATATCTATTATATATTTTATGTCTTTGTAATTTATAAAACTATAAATAACAAAGACGATACGAGATGCAAGACAAAATGTTTCATACAGTGCTATTACCAATTGCAACCAAATGTGTATATATTCATTCATACTTCAAAAAACATACTTTAACCACACGCCACAGAATGCTGGAATTTGAAAAATATGTTACTCACGCATGTGAACTATGTTTTTTAATGTCTTCATATGAGTATTACATAATAATAACTAAAGAGACGTTTAACTTTATTTAATAATAATACTATTTGCCACAAGTATCATTATATTAAAATTTTATTTTGATAGACAGGTATATTTTTAACTGGTACTCACATAATCACAATACTTATCATATTATAATCATAATGGTGTCGATTCTGGCATGATTCTCTAAACTTAAAAATAAATCTGACAACAATGTTTCTTTATTTAGAGAATGCTCTATACAGGATGAAAAGGAGAGACTGAGGTTATATTTAGTTTAGGGTTTAGTGACCCATGCCAGAATCGACACCAATGTACCTATCATAAATTATCATTGAATGACAATAATTATGTAAGTCATCATCATTAGCCTATTAATTTCCCCACTGCTAGTGCACATTCCTTCTCTATGGATGGAATAGGCCCATGACACACCACGCGAGCCCAGTGAGGATTGGTGAGTGCTAACGACTAAAGATGCAAACGGGATCAATGGCTTAACATTCATTCTGAAGAACAGATTCTATTTAAAATGAACATAAAATGAACGGCATATGAAATTACAACTGATTTTGATGTCTTAATCATCATCATTATTATGAAATGTCTCCACTGCAGAGGCACACTAGGCAGTTCCTTGAAATATATAGAATAAGGAGACTAGCTCATGTTCTACTACGCGGGCTCTGTTTGTTAGCGACTGCAGATATACCTGAGACCAAAGGTTTAGCGTGTCTTTCTGAGCTGAGCTGATAGCTACTGGCTTTGACGCCTCTTACGGTTGGTTTTTTTAAGCCGACAGAATTCTATATCGAAGAACTTATTTACAATATCTGTATAATGCCTAATAGTCATTGCTTTATTGTCATAATTAGATAGTTGAACCCAATCAGTATACAATTGAAACATTTTAGTTATAGTGAGCCTACCGTCTAAATATGTCTTAGCCAAATTCTCTTTTGAATCATGTGGTTTTACCCGAGCAAAAGAATTCACATGATCGCAGACGCTGCGTATCATTTCATCATCGATAACTCTATGATGATTACCATGACGACCACGATTATCTCGTGTCACAATTACTCCATTGCCTTCGCTTAATTTATTTAAAGCAGTATTAACGGTTGATTCGGAAATATCAAAAGTATTTAAAAACATTGTTTTGCAGACCCGAGTTTTATCTTGCATCTCTTGTTTCTCCAAGCAATTATACAAAAAATAACGGATCGTAAATTGTCTTGAAGATTTATGTTCCGTTGTTATTCTCCTCTTCCGGATTCTTTCACATAAGTTCGTTATAAGCTTCCATTGCTTCACACGATCACCAAGAGACCAAAACTTTTGAAACAGTTCCTTTCGTGCGGTCTCTTTAATTTTATTCTGACACTGAAGCCGACACTTAAAGTCACAACCTGGCAACAATTTCTTCGATGGCATTATCTTTCCTTTTCGACTTGAATATTCGAGACCTAAGTTCCTTAGTGATTTTCTTTTGCAATCTTTCCAACTATCCTTATCAGATTTTCGAATTATTTTCCTTTTTTTCAAATGAACTGCGATCGTTCCCACCGTTTTTGACTCTGAATCTGAACTATTTGTTACAGTTTTTTCATCCGTGAAAAACTCGAGCAAAGTCGATGTGATTGAAAAATTTGTATTAGAATCCAACTGTAGATGTTTCATGATACCGGTACCTGTTTCAGAAATCTCACGTGTTTCGTTGTTCAGCGGATCTAAAAAACAAATGAAGTTTAGTACATCGCGTCAACATAATCATATGGCAAATAATTCATTTAATTGCTAAACGATAATATTTCCTTGACAACGTCTAGAGAGAAAAAAATACAGAAATAAAACTAATAAGTTTTAAATTTAAATACTATATTACGATAAACTGTGTAGTAACAGGGCCAGCATTTTTTGTAATTTACATAGTCTCTTTATATTCTTCGTTTACTTTTTTTTAAATATTAAATTTGAAAAGAAAATATAACTAGAAAAAAATCCTCGCGGACCAGGCAGAAGACGGGACTCGAACCGGCACCCGGGCTCTCTATTCGCAATCCGGGCGAATGCACTGGCCAATTATGCTACCGCAGCCCTGATGGCCGCGTCGAAATTCTTCTAGTCATTCTTAAGCTGCAAGGCAGCGCCATCTCTTTACATTGTAGGTAACCCACAATGTGAAATGAATACTTTTACAAGTATTAAACATTTGAAAGAAGAAATAGCAGTTATAGTTATAATTTTTTTTTTAAGCATGTAACTGCTTGATGTTAAATAAAATCTAAAGAAAATATAACTAGATAAAAATGATGATCAGGGCCAAAGGAACGGAAAAGAAAAGTAAAGAAAGAAAGGAAGGGGTGAGGAGGAACATCAGGGCAGCGGTAGCATAATTGGTCAGTGCACTCGACCGGATAGCGAAGGGTGCTGGATCGAGTCTTGTCTGCTGCCTGGTCCACGTGGAATTTTTTCTAGTTATATTTTCTTTAGATTTAAACATCAAGCAGTTACATGCTTAAAAAAATAAAACTTATAACTATAAATGCTATTTGTTCTTTCAAATGTTTAATACTTACAAAAGTATTATTTTGACACCTACCTACAATGTGAAGAGATGGCGCTGCCTTGCAGTTTAAGAATGGATAGAAGAATTTCGACGCGGCCATCTGGGCCGCGGTAGCATAATTGGTGAGTGCATTCGCATTATATATATATATATATATTAAAATTGTATTCAAATGTCTTAATATGCGGTAGTAATAATATAAAAAAAAATAGTTTTACTATCAGGCTATACTTTCATTAATTTAATATAACAGATAAATATACCTTAGTCGATATGAGTTAAATGTGCATACAGCAGCGCTTTTACTACGCCGAAATAAATAGTGAAACTAAGAATCTTTAATGTCATACGATTAGAATCTTAAGCTCAACGAGTTACCATTCCATAGCCTACTGTATATGATACGATGGTTATTCAAATGCTATAGTAATGACGAATTTGTTCGTATTTATATAATAGAAACATAGGTTTTCATGGAGTAACTAGACACGCGGCCATATTTTTTAACTATCAAAATAATAAATATATATTTATATGAACTGGTACTCACACATCACAATACTTATTATATTATAATCTACTGATTTTGATGCCTCTTAATGTTTTAGGCCGACAGAATTCTATATCGAATAATTTATTTACAATACCCTTATACTGCCTAATAGTCGTTGCTTTATTGGTATATACATTAGATTGATCAACCCAATCAGTATACAATTGAAACATTTTAGTTAGAGTGAGCCGACCATCTAAATATGTTTTAGCCAAATTGTCTTTTGAATAATGTGGTTTTACCCGAGCAAAAGAATTCACATGATCGCAGACACTGCGTATCATTTCATCATCTATAACTCTATGATGATTACCATGACGACCGCGATTATCTCCTGCCACAATGACTCCTTTACCTTCGCTTAATTTATTTAAAGCAGTATTAACGGTTGTATCGGAAATACCAAAAGTATTTAAAAACATTGTTTTGCAGACCTGAGTTTTATCTTGCATCTCTTGTTTTTCCATACAGTTGTATAAAAAATATCGGATCGTAAATTGTCTTAAATGTTTACGTTCCGCTGTTATTGTTTTTGGCTTGACTCTTTCACATAAGCTCGTTATAAGCTGCCACTGTTTCACACGATCACCGAGAGACCAAAATTTTTGAAACATTTCCGTTCGTGCTCTCTCATTAATTTTTTTATGACATTGAAGTCTACAGTAATCGCAAGGTGGCAACAATTTCTTCGATTGTATTATTTTTCCGCTTCGATTTGTATATTGTAAACCTAGATTCTTCAATAATTTTATTTTGCAAACTTTCCAATTTCTGTTATTACTTTTCCGAATAGTTTTCTTGTTTTTCTTATTAACTGCTATCGTATCTAAGGTTTTTGAGTCTGAAGCTGAAGTAGATGCTTCAGTAACAGTTTTTTCAGCAGTGAATAATAGATTAGATGCTGTAGAATCTGTCTTATAATCCATCAATGCATGTTTCAAGATATCTATACCTATTGTATTTAACTCGCAGACTCCATTGTTTAACGGATCTGAAAAGCAAATTATTTTAAAACCTCAGACAGAATCTAAAAAAAAATATTTACTGAGTTATAAATTAGAGATTTAGCAAAAACAATAAAATAAATATAAAAAAGAAAGTAATTAAATTGAATATAACATGTGTTCTTTAAGAGCATGTAATTTACATGGCTACCTTAGCTTGTAATTTACATAAATTAAATGCTACTTCTTTTTGGTTAAAATTTGTTATTTATTTTCTCTTATTAATACAAATTTATTGAAACAATTTCACTAATATATTATTATTAAACCAATATAGAACGTAAGCCAATACAAGTTTACAACAGTATCTTTAAAATCTAAAAATAACAAGAACATATATTATTTTATAAATTTAAATATATTTATTAAGGTAATGGAAATGTTCAGAAAATTACGTTAATTTATTTTGAGGCTTTTCACGATTTCTTTTTAAAAAGAGTTTAGATTCAATTTACTGCATGGTATTGCAGAATTATTATGCCTGTGTGATTATAAAGTGTTTTTATATAGACGCTGTTACTTTTAAGTTGTTCCTCCATAAATATTTGTTAAGAAAATGTATTTTCGAGAAATTAATGATATCAAAGTGCGGAAAACTTGTGGGAAATTCAGAAATTTGAAACACTACGAGAGCGGTTGTGACGTAAACATATGCCTAACAAACAACCTTAGATTAAAACAAAAGAGGAAGATACGGCACTCGCAGCTCAAAAGTGATCCGCTTAAATTGTGGTGTTCGATCACAATTCGCTGTAGTCGCAATTGGACATTCAAACACGCTGCATGGTACACTCAATATGCGTAATTTCTGTGTTATAAAGATAAAACAATACCTTCGATGCTTTTATAAAGAACACAAATTGTTCAAAATCAAATAATAAATGCCTCGGCAACACTTCTCATTCCTAAAACCGCAAAATCTTTTTTTTTTTTTAAATCACGGTTTGTCGTGTATGTTATAAACGTAATCGCCATTTTGTTATCAAGAAAAGGACAAAAATACAGCTCAGCCGTTCGCACCCGGAAGCTGATTCGCCATTTCGCTCGCTCTGCGTTGAATCGTACAGTTCTGTCTCACTCGCTCGATTGAATGTTGTTTACAGACGTCTGCATGAGTGAGAGTTGCTTATGTAGTTGAGTCGGATCATATTTTATTTGATGCTAGTAGGAGCGTACCATATCTTCCCTTTTTGTTTTAATCTAAGGTAATAACAAACAAACTTGACGTTAACAGGATATGCCAATGTAGTAGATATCAAGGCCGCGTTCCAACCGAGTGCAACGTTTCACTATGACATTTAAAGTTTTACCAAAAAATATATAATGTATATTTGATTGATGTAGGTTCCAACTTCCATCCGCAGTGAAGGTATGGAACACAAAATGTCAGTATCTTGTAAGGTCATTGATCTTGTTTGTAGGTTTAATGAATCGTGACTTCGAGTCGTTACATCCAAGCGTTACAAAATAGCGCGTGTTTATGTATACGTTTATGTGGCTATTTCATGCATATGATGTCAAAAAGTCATGCTTATTCCCTAATTTAGTTTTTAGTTGATCATTCATTATTTTTTCGGGGATCATTTAAATATTTCCCAATAAAGACACGACTGCCGTCAAAAAAAATAACTAAAACTAAACTAAAAAGTTTTATTTTTGGAATAGAACAAAATGTTAGTATGTTTTCTTTAAATGCAGTCGGTAATTAGAGGATGTCCTATGATTGCATTAAAAAAATCATCCTATTCGAAAAATATAATGTATTTTTTACTTTTTAGTTATTTTTTTGGTGTCATTCCTTAAGTTCCCTCTTACCCTGAGCAAACGTTTATTTACATTTTTTTTTTATATTTATATAGACAACTAGCTGACAGTCCACCTTATGATAAGTAGTCACTACCGCCCATGGGCAACACCAAGGGTGCTCATGCGTTGCCGGCTCTGAAGGAACAGGTTGCCTTTTTAAGACAGTTCTGTCAGTTCAGACATTTGCGGCCATACAAGCAAGCTTTTGATTTATATCTGATAAGTGTGAGTTACAAATATTTATGGATTGTTTGGTATTAGATGTATCGCGGATGGAAAGAAGATACTATGTCTCATTTTTAGTTTATGTATGCTTCTTACCCCTCGTTTACAACAAGAAACAAGTCATATACTAGTTTTACACAAAACTTGTAGAATACTTGTTGCGACTGTTTAAAACATTTTTTCATTTACACTGCGTAGACAACTAGTATCTTAAGAAAATATAACCAGAAAAAAAATCCACGCGGACCAGGCAGCAGACGGGACTCGAACCCGCACCCTTCGCAATCCGGGCGAATGCACTGACCAATTATGCTACCGCAGACTTTCTTTCTTTGAATGATGAATTGACTCTGAAATTGAATAAATGACTTTGAATTTTTTCTAGTTATATTTTCTTTAGATTTAAACATCAATCACTTACATGCTTAAAAAATTAAAATTATAACTAGTATCTTTACAAATATAAATCACTTGTTTATTTCACATATTTTGTTTATCCAATAAGTTTGATGCAAGAATTGTACACTACATGTTTTATACATGTATATAAGTGTGAAATGATATTGTATAAGTTT